GTCACATCAAACTGCATATTCTTTCATTTCTTTTTTATAGAAGAATCTTTATCCAACGTTATCAAATAACTTAGAAAAGTCACACAAAAATCACAAAAAAATCGACGTAGCTAAATTTTAATTAAACTGCTGAGAGCCTGTGTCGCTCACCTGACTCAACTTGGGTTTTTGAAATCATAAAAAAAAAAGATAAAAATCATAACAGATACTCAAATAATGTTTGAGGCCAGATTTGGTTGATATTGGCCCTCTAATTTAATAATTAATCCCGGTGGCCATCTTGAACAGTAAATCAGCAACAAAGAAGCAACACTTCATCAGCACCTCACAAGGAACATTTATGACATGTTTGGTTTCATTCTATTGAGTGGTTCTCTAAAAGAAGACATTTGTATGTATTTCCCATAGGGTCCTATGTTAAACTAAGTCCCCTCTAGCGGCCATCTTGGATAAAGGATCAGCTACAAAGTAACAACACTTGGTCAGCACTTTGTAAGGAACATTCATGCTATGTTTGGTTTTATTCCATTCAGTGGTTATCTAAAAGAAGACATTTGTATGTATTTCCCATAGGGTCCTATGTTAAACTAAGTCCCCTGCTTGCAGCCATCTTGGATGATGGATCGGCTACAAAGTAACAACACATGTTCAGCATCTCATAAAAAACATTCATGCTATGTTTGGTTTCATTTCATTCAGTGGTTCTCTAAAAGAAGACATCTGTATGTATTTCCCTTAGTGTCCTATGTTAAGCCTAGTCCCCCACTGGCGGCCAACTTGGATGATGGATCGGCTACAAAGTAACAACACTTGGTCAGCACCTCATAAGGAACATTCATGCTATGTTTGGTTTCATTCCATTCAGTGTTTCTTTAAAAGAAGACAATTGTATGTATTTCCCATAGGATCCTATGTTTAACTAAGTCCCCCGATGGCGGCCATCTTGGATGATGGATCGGCTACAAAGTAACAACACTTGGTCAGCACCTCACAAGGAACATTCATGCTATGTTTGGTTTCATTCCATTCAGTGGTTCTTTAAAAGAAGACATTTGTATGTATTTCCCATAGGGTTCTTTGTTAAATTTTAATTAAACTGCTGAGAGCCTGTGTCGCTCACCTGACTCTTGGTCAGCACCTCATAAGGAACAGTCATACCATATTTGGTTCCATTTCATTCAGTGGTTCTCTAGAAGAAGTTCAAAATGTAAAAAGTTAACGACGACGACGGACGACGGACGCCAAGTGATGAGAATAGCTCACTTGGCCCTTCCGGCCAGGTGAGCTAAAAAAGCAGTTACAAAAATGTATAAAACTAGAGGCTCTAAAGAGCCTGTGTCGCTCACCTTGGTCTATGTGCATATTAAACAAAGGACACAGATGGATTCATGACAAAATTGTGTTTTGGTGATGGTGTTGTGTTTGTAGATCTTACTTTACTGAAACATTCTTGCTGCTTACAATTATCTCCATCTATAATGAACTTGGCCCAGTAGTTACAGTGGAAAATATTTTGTAAAAATTTACAAAAATTTACAAAATTTATGAAGATTGTTAAAAATTGACTATAAAGGGCAATAACTCCTCAAGGGGTCAACTGACCATTTTGGTCATGTTGACTTATTTGTAGGTCTTACTTTGTTGTACATTATTGCTGTTTACAGTTTATCTCTATCTATAATAATATTCAAGATAACCAAAAGCTGCAAAATTTTCTTAAAATTACCAATTCAGGGGCAGCAACCCAACAACGGGTTGCTTGATTGGTCTGAAAATTTCAGGGCAGATAGATTTTGACCTAATAAACAATTTTATTCGGTCAGATTTGCTTTAAATGCTTTGGTTTTAGAGATGTGAGCCAAAAACTGCATTTCACCCTATGTACTATTTTTAGCCATGTCGGCCATCTTGGTTCGCGAGCGGGGTCATCAGACACATTTTTTAAACTAGATACCCAAATGATGATTGTGGACAAGTTTGGTTAAATTTGTCTTAGTAATTTCAGAGGAGAAGATTTTTGTAAAAGATTACAAAAATTTACGAAAAATTGTTAAAAATTGATTATAAGGGGCAATAACTCTTTAAGGGGTCAACTGACCATTTTGGTCATGTTAACTTATTTGTAGATCTTACTTTGCTGAACATTATTGCTGTTTACAGTTTATCTCTATCTATAATAATATTCAGGATAATAAACAAAAACGGCAAAATTTACTTAAAATTACTTGTTCGGGGCAGCAACCCAACAATGGGTTGCCCGATTCATCTGAAAATTTCAGGGCAGATAGATCTTGACCTTATAAACAATTTTATCCCCATGTCAGATTTGCTCTAAATGCTTTGGTTTCAGAGATATAAGCCAACATCTACATTTTACCCCTATGTTCTATTTTTAGCCATGGCGGCCATCTTGGTTGGTTGGCCGGGTCAACGGACACATTTTTAAAACTATTTACCCCAATGATGATATAGGCCAAGTTTGGTTAAATTTGGCCCAGTAGTTTCAGAGGAGAAGATTTTTGTAAAAGTTAACGACGACGGACGACGACGGACGACGACGACGGACGACGGACGCCAAGTGATGAGAAAATCTCACTTGGCCCTGTGGGCCAGGTTAGCTAAAAAAGCAGTTATGTACATTTCTATTAGTTGATGCACAGTTTTCCATTTTAGGCGGAATTTTGACGAACTTTCATAAAACGTTTGTTTCTCGTTATTAAATAAAGTTATACTTTCTTATTAAATAACTCTCTCCATTTCTTTATACCACCCAGCTTGTAACATATATCGGACATAAATCGGAAAGTAGATGCTGAATCCACCTTTTTCCAATAACATTTGCAATAATACAATTATAACAAAAAATACATTCTTCAAGTTATTTATTAAAAAAATATTGAATCAAAGCATTGGTAGAGTTTTTGAATAGCATTAATAATTTAATTCAATAATATAGAAAATGTATCATAGATATCGTTTCATGTCTGTGGGAGAAATATGAAAGAGAACAGTTTTTCATTTCTAATTTGGAAATAACACAAAATATATGTGCATGTTAGAAGATAACATTTCTCGTCTTCATTACACACGGTATCATCAATCGAATTATCATTTATACAGATTTGTAGTAATGGAATATATACAAGCACCTCTTTTTGATAAATGAGCATTTTCATGTTTTTTCACTAAGTTTTTGGAATTTAAAACATCGTCATATAATTATTTTATATTCAGATCCATGAAATCTAATACATTTTGTCATATTAAAAGTGTAAAATTAAATAAAACAAAAATTGTTGACGTACAATAAAGTGTGATCGATGTGCTATATAGAATTGCCACGTGTTCAACACTAAAATCTTGTGTGCGTATGTCAATTAACAATTCTATAACTTGGGTGGGAGTGATTGACCAAAAATAGATATGTTAGAAGATAACATTTCTCGTCTTCATTACACACGGTATCATCAATCGAATTATCATTTATACAGATTTGTAGTAGTGGAATATATACAAGTACCTCTATTTGATAAATGAGCATTTTCATGTTTTTTTCACTAAGTTTTTGGAATTTAAAACATCGTCATATAATTATTTTATATTCAGATCCATGAAATCCAATACATTTTGTCATATTGAAAGTGTAAAATTAAATAAAACAAAAATTGTTGACGTACAATAAAGTGCTATATAGAATTGCCACGTGTTCAACACTAAAATCTTGTGTGCGTATGTCAATTAACAATTCCATAACTTGGGTGGGAGTGATTGACCAAAAATAGAAATATGGGAGGCGTAAGCAATCCACATTACGTTTTAAAACAGGCTAAGCGATAAACTTTGTCCATCAATCACTTACTCATTTAAGATAATAATTTATTTGTGCATAGACGATAAATTAGAATTGATGAAGCAATAAAAATAGCGGTTAACCGATAAAAATAGCGGTTAACCGATAAAAATAGCGATTAACCGATAAAATTAGCGGTTAACCGGTAAAACTAGCGGTTAACCGGCATATTTATAGCGGTTAACCGACATAAAAGTAGCGGTTAACCGATAAAAATAGCGGTTAACCGATAAAAGTAGCGGTTAATCGATAAAAATACCTTTTGAACCAAATGGTACACCATAGTTGAATGACTTATTCTTCAATTATTTAGTCTAAGAATTTATATCTTTAATTTTCACCAATTGTCTAAATTTGATTTATTGAACCTTTTTGTCTGCTTACGCCTTACCTAACTAAAGATGGTTGAGATATGTTTAGCCGTTTTTACATAAAACATTTAAAAAATGAAAAACATCTAGCTTGTAAGTTATTTCTTCAAAGACATATATATAGCATCAGTTTAAAGCAAACTTATTTGTCCAAGGCATAAATGAATGATTGTTCCGAAATGAATGAATGTATACAGCCTATTGTTAGAAAGCAGGACAAACTTGTGTTTTCTGGTGTTAATATGTTTATAAAAATACAGCTGATATTATGCCATATAATTATTTCATTACTAATTGTGATTAAACTGCAATAAGCTACGGTTCGGTACCAATTTCGTCGTCAGCTCTGTTGCATAAGGACAAATGAAAATATTAAATTTCTTGGTAACAAGGATGTCATATAACCTCCTAAATGGTATTTTTTAAGATATATGAACATCAAAACTCATGAGATACTTTTATGACTGTTTGTTAAAAAAAATATCATTCAAGATCAATTAACAAAAATCATGTATGGATTTTTTCCCTAATTTTTCAAAATAATTTCCCCTTCGTACATTGATTTATAATCTCGACGAGGTTTTGATCTCAATATCATATTCCTTTTAAAGACCACTAACTCCAGTATCGTAATTTATAACTCCCGTGAAGACGCTAATTATTTTTTATCAGAGACATGTCTCTGTTGTATTTAACAAGATTAGTAAATGCAACGACATCTATTGGAAGGAGTTAAGAGTTATCGTTAATTATCTACTGTCCAATATAAACAGATTGGGTTATCTCGCTTGGAAATGTGACATATTCTTGCACATGATCTGTGGCATAGGTCTATTAGTTCTCATTGTGCCTGTGAGATACGTACGCTCTCTCAATAATTTGTTAGCTAAATTAAGTGAAGCAAAAAAGCTATCGGCGAAAACATGAAAGCCTTTCCCAAGAAGATGCGAATTCTTCATTAAATTTATTACTACATTTGTTCCTTGTAATGCTCCAGCAGGAGTGGGATCGAAACGTTTCCCGTGATATATATCCATCTGTAAAACATACCCGGTGACGGACTCGACCAACATCCAGAATTTAACGCCAAACCTTGAACGTTTACTTGGTATATACTGTAACATACTTGTCTTTCCTTTTGTACCAACAAGGGATTCATCTACAGCAAGTTCTCTGCGGGGATTATAATACCGTAAACATTTCCTGTTAACGAAATCAAGTAACGGTTTGAACCTTTGAGATGGTTTGTAAGCTGGATCATTACGCCTAGGGGGTTTTTTGGTGTCCACCAGGTGCAAAAATTTTAAGATGTTTTGGAATCGGTTTCGACTAAACATACAACGGAACCAGGGTGTAGACTGCGATGGACTGTGCTTATTCCAATATTCTTCAAATGATACTTTCCTAATTAAGTCCATGTTATAAAAAACGGCAAGGAATCCCTTAAACTCAGGTATGGTCAGTTTACCCTCCTTCTGCCACTGCATTTTTCTCGAAAATCGACTGGTTTGGCGAATGGTTTCATGACAAAGATTCTTTGCATATCTACAAAAAAAATTCAAAAATAATCATATACATTTATTATATAAAGTCGTAGAATCTTTTATGTAAATATCTATTTTTTTACGGGAACGACCATATTACTTTGAAAATGTATATTTTTTGGTGGTGGTGATTAAGTGGGGTTATTTTATTTTCTTCATTTGTTTTTGTATTTGGTGATTTGTTGATGTCTTCGTGTCAGTAACTTATATCCGTTCTTTTTAATGTTTTGTTTTCGTATACTGCCCGAATAACCGTTTCTTTTGAGTTACACGTGCTTTTATGATAGTTTATATCCTGTCATTGGGGCGCATCCCCTGTATCTGAGCAAGCTGCAACGCAACCAAAGAAAAACATAATGTTCATTTCTTTATTGAGCTGAACGAACAAACAGTGGTGTTAGGCTGTCTTTCTATTATCTTGACCGGTTTACACATACCATTTCAGCAGGTGGATATTAAAGTGTTCAAAAAATTTCTAAATTATGTTTTAGAAAGAACAATGTCATAAAATGAAACAACTTGTAATCACAATTAAAGATTTAAATTGTATGACTTTGTTGATTATTTTATTGACTGTATCATTAACATTTCAACGGCGCGTTGGTTCTATATTGATGGTAAAAAATTGCAATATGGCTATGAAAGATACGTCTAGTAACTATAAACTAACTCAGAAAAGATTATTTTACCAACCTGTTTGTTTGTTTGACAAACTCTTTGATGAGGTCAATAGAAAACAGCAAATAAAAGTAAGCTATTGGCGCGGCATCTCTGGGTGGCATATTAATGGGTCCAGTGGGTGCTCTATTAAACGGTGGGTCATTCATTGGCTCTGGTGGGAAAACCCGGAACCATGGATTAGGTTCAATTGCAGCCATGTTTCCTTCAGCGCTGCTCAGAGTCTATGACGTCAAGATTACGTCATTGATGCTGCACATCGGCCAAAGCCGATGCCTGGCAGTCAAAGGTACATTTTTAAAATCGGCGCGTTTTTTCTGTTGTTGTGTGTATGAGGGATGCCCCCTTTTGGCACGTGATATTCCAGGTACATGAAAAAAAGAGTATTCTGTACTCAAAGGAATGGTACACAGTATTCAGAAATTAACGTGTTGGTACTCGATACGCCGGAATCATAATTGTTTCTGTTTATGCCCCCACCCAATGGAGGCGGCATTAAGTGACTCTTAAAGTGTTACCTTTGACCACCCGTCCGTCCGACCTAGTTTTGGTTTCCGCGCTTAAAACCGAAGTAAAAAGTCGTAGACGATTATGAAAAGTTTATAGAGGGATAAATGCAATAAAAAAATATAACTTAAAAAATAATTCCTTCATGTCATGCTCTATGCTCATTTTAACATGGGTAGTCATTATATTTGTATATATTTTAAACTGAGCGTTATGTCGATTCTAATAGGGCAAATACAGTATTTTTATAGGTCGAAGCGCACGAAAATACCTTAAAAATGTTTGGCTGTTCTCGTTTCCTCCCAATGGAGTCTGTACATTACATTTTCATATTTAATTACTTTAAAAACTAAAAGCAGGGTAAATATGTGTTGTTTGATAAACAATACATAATAAAAGTTTATGTAAGCTGCTAATATATATATACTTTATTAGAATAACAATAAAAATAACGAAAATATAAAGAGTAAATTTGTGCGCAGGTGTCAAACATATTTTGTGCTAATTAGAACACGGCTTTGTTTCCAAGGCGTAACAAGGACGTCATATTAGAATGATAAATGATTTATGCTCTTTAAGTCCATCATTGGTCCATATGCACATCAACAAAATAAAAGAAAGTTTTGTTTTATTCCTATATCATAAAATTGAGAAAGGAAATGGGGAATATGTCAGAGAGACAACAACCCGACCAAAGAGCAGATAACAGCCGAAGGCACCCGGAGTATGATAAAGACGCATTTATACAATGAAGATATTGGAGCTGGGACGACTTTTAAACATATCCGTTTATTTGGAAAAATCAATAGAAAGAAATATGTGAATGTAATCAAATGACAATGCACTTCTGGGTAATAATGTAATAATAAGGATGGCTGGATCATGATGGGGCTCCATCGAAAGAAAAGTCAATGAGCCCGGTAGCAGAACTCTGAACAACGGGTGATTTTCTTTCCACGCCGGCTTCGCTGGGCGCTGCAAATTCTCTATGACGTCAAGGAACAACGTCACAGCGGAAAACAACATTGGCTTTTGGCCGATCCTTGTCAGTCAAAGGTACTGTTTCTGCATCGGCCAAATCGGCCCTATGGCAGAAAGGAGGTTAAATTAGCCTTATTTTTTTTATCGACATTCGTCAAATCTGATTTTGTAGCTACCGTTAGCGTCAAATGGAGTGAAATGTTGATCGTTAACGTTATTTTAACAAATATTACGGATTACAAATGTGTCGAGTTTTGTGATTAGATAACAACACAGAGATGTCAGAATATATCCAGGAAACTGCCGGGGTATATACGACGTTTTTACCCCAATAGGAATCATTCACGACTTTTCACGCGTGGCGTCGCTGCGGTTCCATAAGTGGTTACTTGAACGCTTCAATCACGTAAAACGCTTGCATCTGTATTTACAACGTAAACAATGGCATCCGATGATTACAATACCTGGTCTGTTCCAGAACTAACGTTACGTGGAGCTGTCACAAGAGACAGAAATATAGATCTTATAGAAAGGTAAACGATGTATTTACAAAATATTGAGATTTCTTCTATTATAAGCGGAAACGCCGCTACAGTACATTGCCAAAAAGCTTTCGTCACCTACATTTTTGGGCTATATATTTCATATAAAAAGACGTTTATTCGAGGCATTTATGTTTGTATTTTTACAAATAATGTGTTGAAAAACGCTGAATGGTATATAAAGAGTATTTGTTTGTTTTGTCATAGCTCTGTCATCAGTTGTTTTTATCTGTTTATTTTCTCCTGATGTGAACACATATAGCATGTATAGGTCTACTATTTTTTACAATTTAATTTGGTTGAAATATAAATATATAGCAAGATTGTTTATAATAGACAATAATATTTATGTTTATCTCAGAAGAAAATGAAAATAAACAAATAATTATTCTGCTGTTGGTACCAAGTTGCATAAAATCAAATCAGAAATGTCCCCTTAATAATCTTTTGAAGTGCAATTTTATATGAAATATTTAGTGTGAAATACCAGAGACATATAATACAATGTACCCCAAGTTAGAAAAAAAACAAAATAAAAACCCCACTGAACATATAAATAGTCATGAATATATAATTAAACTTTCTATGATACATTTAAATGATTTTGTATAATAATGATTAAAAATAGGGGTTCTTATACAGATATTATCTGTTGGCCATGAAATGTGATACAGACCATGCAGACTGGGCAAGGGAAAATTAAATTTAACTTGTTATATATATAATTGGACTATTATACTAATAGTCTATTAGTCCCAGTTATATATAAACAATTTATTACTTTTGAAAATGGGACAATTACACAAGGAAAGTATTAAATCCTCCCAATACCACTTTTAAACAAGACATGATTCTACATTTTTAAGCTTTAAATCTTTTAATATGTCTCAGCTTCATCAACTTAAAAAAAAAGACACTGTAAAAAAATATAAAGGCCCTTCTCTGCAAACTTTTTACATATAACATGATGGGGCCATTTTTGGAAATTTTAAAAGATATGTACATCTATAATGAAGTTTTATTTGCAATTCAAGTTCAAACAAGGAATTATTTAAATATGGAATAATTTCAAATTCTGCAAAATTGATTAGAACATAATTATGAAAACTAACCCAACTAAATATTTTTTAAACTTAGAAATGTGGTCCCTATACATGTAGTTCTACGTCCTTTTTGAATCCTATCTGTTCTTGGCAGATAATCTTATAAGATTCTAAATAGTTTTCTAAACTGTTATACTCTAGAAAAAAATGTTCCTAAACTAGTAAAAAGGGTTATACCTCTGTTGTTTGAAGGGCTAAGCCTATTAAAACATCTTCCTTTGAATATGGGTTAAATAAATTTTCTCTCCAATAAGATCTTCTTGCTAGAGAGAAAATTTTATTAATTTTTAAGAAAAAAGTAGTGTTTTATAATTATATAAACATATCATGCCTAACAATCAGCATACAAAATTTTTTCAAAATTTCATTAGTTATACCATAAAATCCACATGATATCGTGTTTTTGAAATATTTCATGGCAAGCAGAATTTAATCTATGTAATAGTACTTTAAAAAAATCTTTACCTACATGTTTTAAAAAAATTCAAACCATTCCTTAGCTTGTTTAATTAAACTTTGGCTGGAACATGCATTAAATATTTGTCACTGGACATTAAGATTCCAACAATCAATCAATATATTTGAACTTGAATCATTGATTTCTTTCCTTTTTGTCTTGCCTTGACAGAGTCCAAAAGCAAGACATAGCATATATTAGGTATGCTGTTTTCAGCCTCATCAACAATGTATTAGTTAGTAAAGTAATATAAAATAGTCAAATATTGCAGACATTTTCTACTGGTAGATATTTGTACATGTAACCATGAAAGACAATATATTCATTATACAGTTTTCATGATTAATCGCACAGGCACTTGTCTCAGAAAAAAATTTCCTATATACCTTAATATAACACGTGTTATAGGAATTTTTTTTCTGAGACAAGTGCCTGTGATTAATCGCTAGCCCTTCAAGGCCAGGCCAGATACATTTTTTGTAAGTTAGTATAGATAATAGTTAATGTGTCAATCCTAGTCAGGAGCCTTTAATTTAGTAGTTATAGTTGATTAATTTCTGATATATATACATATATATTTGTTTTTTTATTGTCTTATTTTATAATTTAAAATCAAGCCATTAGTTTTCTAGTTTGAATTTTCTTTCATTTTTGAATGTTGTGACCTTTGTAGCTGACTAGTACAATGTGATTTTTTCTTGACT